ACACCTGTACTGCGAGAATTTACATCGCCGTGCTCCGGGATGGCATTGATTTGGGACGGGTGAACTACAAGCACAAACTAATTAAAAACTGCATAATGGCGCCCTACAGGAACACAGGAGAAAAACAAATAAATACAAGTGCAGCTGGCACGGCGATCGCACCTCTGCCCCCGCGCAACCGTCTGGTGACATCAAATTATAAACCCTGAAAACCCGCACACCACTGCCGTGGCTCATATTGGAGGCCTAACGGGAACAATCTGGTTAATTAAGGGGAGGTTTATAAAATATTTACGTGTGTGCGCACGCATGTAATTCACTTCCTCCGACACTCGGGGACGGCGACGTCGCGACACTCCAGGCCGGGCCACTGTGGCCCATTTGTCTACCCTGGGAAACGCAGGCCGGTTGGGGAGGCTCCGGGCGCCGGACCGCGCTTCGCCCTCCCGCCCGCCGCGCTCCAGGGAGCCAAGCCCCCAGTACATCCAGACACTCGTTCTGCATGGCAGACCGTGCGGGGCACTGCCCTGAGCATGTCACCGTCCCGCGTCCTTTGCCTCTGGGCGTTTTGCTCCCCTGGTTTTCCTGGCGTCTCCTCCGCGGGCCCCCCCTGGGCTACTTCTGCCCAGGCGCGCACGTCTCGCCGTTGGGTCTCCGCAGTCCCGCGCGCTCAGGGCTTTAGCTGGGTGCTACTCTTGGCCAGGAGGCACCAGGGGTGTCCCCGGTCGGCCCCCCGCGTGGGTCTGAGCGTGCAGCGGCAGGAGCGGGCAGGACCGGCACACAGGGATCGGGGTCGAGAGGGCCGCGGCATCACAGTCGCCGGCCCGACCCACCTCCTGGCCTGGCGCCCATGGGCGCCCGGGTTACAGCTGGGCGCTCCGGAGAGGGTCGCAGCTGCCCGGGACTGTTTGACACTCGCCTCGCTGTCGCCAAGCGGGGTGGCTTTCTGGCTGGATCTCGCTGGAGAAACTAAGTCTTAAATGAGTGTTTAACAAGACTCAAAAATCAGGGTGCGAGCTTCGGGGCGGGTGGACGGGCCGTAGTCGCGAGGCGCGGACCAGGGTCAGGCCGCCCCGCCCTGCCACCGAGCTGCGGCCCAGCGCTGTAGCCCTGGCATCTGCAAAGTAAATAATGGCCATTTTGAAAGGCAGGCGATGAGGTCAAGGCGACGACGGCTGCATCCCCGAGTCGGATCTGCGTCGCCCGGTTCTCGGCGCCAAAGGCAGGTCTGTGATGGCTCCAGGGAGTGGGCTGTTTCCCCACGAGCTTCCTCCTCTTCTTCAGAGACCTAGGTCAGCAACGCTTCAAAATCGGTGGAGAATTATTTCGGAAGAAAGGAAATTGTAAATGAGGATGCCGTTTGGTTGGTTTAATCTCATCCTTATGTAAATATGTGGGGGGCAGGGGGAGGGAAAAGAGCTGGATGAACTTTTATCGAGGGGCTGGGGAAAGAAAAAGGACACGATATTTTTCGGATTGGTGATAACGATTCCTTCCTATTAGAAAACTAGCACCGCCCACCCCCGATAATGAAAAGGAGCGAGTAAACTTTCCATCGAGTTGGCTCAAACGCGCACCGTGCATCAGTACCTCCGTCCCCCGCCCCCCGCCCCGTCCGGTACACAGCCCCGGGCCCTCTCTCGCCCGCCCACCAGAGTCACCTCCCTCCGGAGCCTAGTCTGCACACAAGCGCCGTGCACACACACACACACACACGCACACACACACGAGTGTACCCAGAGGCCCACGTCCCAGCTGCGGCGCGCAGAGGGTCCGGGCCTTCCAGCCAAAGGGTCCCGGCAACTGCCCCTGCTGAGCTCCGCGGGGTCGCGCCTGCGATGGGGCCAACTGCCGCGGGTCCCTGAGTGGGGGTCCTTACTGAGCACAGGGCTCCCAGACCCGAGCCAGGACACCGCCCGGGCGGAGCTCCACTTCGGCCGCGCAGCGACCCCTAAGGTCTGGCTTTGCACCGTTCCCAGGCCCTGCCTCCGGCTCAGTGAAGACCGGTGGCGACAGGGTCGGGGGACGCTCTGGTCGGCGAGGCTTCCAGACCAGTGGCCCGGCCTGCCTGAGCAACCCCTTGCGAGGCGGGGACGGTGGTTGAAGATCTGAGAAGCGGGTCTCTCCCCAGTCACCCATCCTGAGCAGCAGGGCCCCAGGCCGTCGGTTTTCGACAGCGGGGCAGCCGAAGCCTCGCAGCCTGTGTACCCCTCCGGTGCCCGCGGGTCCGGGCGCAGGACCAGGCTGGTCCGTCTCTTGACCCCGCGCCTTTTGGGCCACCAGAGTGACAGCCCTGGACATCAGAGGGCTTAGGTGGTGCACTGGGCCGGCCTCTTTGGGGAAAGTTCTGGATCCATTAGGCGGTTATTTAAGTCAGCCCGAGGTCCGGGCACAGGGCCTGCTGTCTTGGCTCAGGCACCCTGGGCCTTCCTGGGCCCTCCTTGACCGCTTGATGATAAAAATGAGTAGAGGGCTGGTGGGAAGACGTCGAGCCAGCAAGTCTCTAGATCCTTCTCTGCCCCTCCCCCTCTCCACGATGGGAAGCAGATTTCCTCTTTTTTTAATTTTAATTTTTGTCGACGTTGCTTCCTAGTTTTCCACGTGCAAGTTTTGGGGTAAAGGGCCAAGGAGAAAGCAGGGAAGAGATGGGGAGTGGTGGTTGCCAGGCTCCATTAGGATCCCAGCACCTGACCCCTCAGGGAAAGAGAAAGGCCACAGGCACCTCTCCAGGGCTCCCTGGGGGCAAGGCCACAGGCCTTTCTGGTACTAGTTCCCCCATCACCTCCTTATCCTCAGGCACCATTTCTGGTGTGCCATTCCCACTCATCTCCCAGGTGCCTTCAGGAACCTACAATCACTTCACGACCAGAAAGGAGGTGGCACAGACCAGGCACAGCGGGTGGCACTACTGGGCTGGTTGAGGGTCAGGACAAAGCCTGCTGCCCTGTCTCCCTCCATCTCCCCCCAGGTTGTGAGGGCTACAGTGTGATGGGAGTCAGGGTGGGCTGTTGCAGGTAGGAGGTGGGCAGGTGATTCATCCCTGTGGCTGAATCTTGACACTATTTTCTCTGGGCTTACATTCCACCTGGTTCTCCAAGTCACACAAGAGGGCTTATCTCACCTGTATTTACCTGTCACCGTGAAATGTGACACTGGAGTTTGCTAAACAGGACAGCGGTGGGGATGGCCAGTCGGTTTGTTTTGGGGAGAGGGAGTTGGGGGAGAGGAAGCTGGGCAGTGCAGGGTGGTGGGCTGGGCAGCAGGAGGAAGCTGTGGTTAGGGGCTTCCCAGAGCAGGACTGACCACCTGCGACCCCCCAGAAGCTGTCAGAGCAGGAAAGGAGCCCAGGCAGTTGCACGGGGTTTCTGGCGTGAGCAGGGACTGGTTAGTGGGGTGGGGGTAGGGGTTGGAGAAGAGGGAGGACGTTATGAACAGGAAGAAAACCTGACTCTGAACACAGAAAATAAAGCCTGATTACACAGCTGGTAATTAGTAATTACTATTATGGGCGTTATTGTCGCTAATTATAGGTGGTGGCTCTGTGACTGTCCTCAGGCCCCCAGATGGGGGAAACGGGATCTTTCCTGATGCTCGGGGAGTCCTTGGACCTAGTAGGTTGGGGCCGCTGGAATAGGGAACTAGAGGATGGTGATCGGGTCGGTGTCCAGGGTACAGGTGGCCCAGATCACCAGCATCACAGCATTCTGGGGGCATGGCCTCAGTTCTGTTGCCCCAAACGGCCCCCAAACGAGGCCACCACCCAGGTCCCTGGATGAAATTCCCGCCGGGTTCCGCGTGCCCGAACGCAGCAGCAGGGAGTACACGCCTGGCGCTGGCTGCAGCTTAGGAGATGGAGCGCAAAGCGGCCCCGGGAGGCCAGGCAGGTACCCTGGGTGCGCTCCCCCCCTGGCCTCCAGGACCAAGCCACTGAGCGCAGCGCAGAAGCGGCCTGCCCGAGAGGTCCAGGGCACAGGGAGGCGAGGAGGACCTTGCCCTCGGCGTCTGCGCCCCAGCCCCACGGGACCCCAGGCAATCCGGAGCCACCTCCCAGCGCGCGCTCTGCCCGGCCGGGTCGCTCGCCGCTCTTCTGGCGGGGGGAGGAGAGGGAACCCGGTGCCCGGCCTGGTCGCGGCGCCGCCTCGGGCCGGCGCGCTCCACACAAGTTTACTTCCTGCCTTTGCTCACCTAGTGGGCAAACGAGGGGGTCCAGGCCAGGCTGGCCTCTCCCATCGCCGGGGTGGGGGCGGATTGCTTCCCTCCCGGCCGCAGTGGTCCTTTCTCCGCAAAGAAAAATGGTCCTTTCCCCTCACCCCCAAGAACCGACCATCTGCTTCCCCCAAGCTAGTGGCTGCCCAGCTGGGGTTGCCCTTTCTCAAAGTTTTCACAATTGGAAAAGCCTGCAGGGATCGGACGCTTCCCGCTTCTCCAAGTGCAGCGAGGCCAGCCTAGCCCCTGCCTGATGACCTGTTAATACCTAGTGGGGGCCATGGGGACGCCACGCCCGCGTCGGGGTGTCGCTCCACGCCGGTTTCGTGGCACTTCCGCCAAAGATGACCCGGGGAGCCAAAGGCAGCATGGACCTCGGAGGAGAGGCCGCTCCCCGCCGGCTGTCATCGCGCTCCCGCCCGCCCCTTCCCCGCCGCCCGAACGGTGGAAAAGCAGGCGCCGAGGTGTTTTTTGTGAGCAAGCAGGACACACCTCGGCTGCGAAACGGCCAGCTGCGGTGTCCGACAGCTGTAAACCTGCGTCGACAGGTTGTCAGACAGCCCCGGGGGCCGGCGGGGAAGGAGCCCGCGGCCTTCGGGCCCGCACCGTTTGCCCGGCCGCTCGCGCGGCCACCGCGGGAGGAGGTGGCCCGGCCGGCGCTGGGCACCACGTGCTCGCCGGGAGGGGCGGGAGCAGCCGGCGAGGGCGGGCGGGAGGCAGGGAGGGGGCAGGAGGGGAGCCGGGGGCGGGGCCAGCGCTCAAGGGGATGCCAATCAAAGCATCAACTTCAAATTGTGTCTGAAAGCCCCGCCGCCGAGCGGAGGGCGGCCGCCGCAGTCGGCGCGCGATCGCGGATCCGGGCGCAGGCGGGAGCCGGGCGCCAGCGAGCACCCGGCCGAGGAGCAGCCACCGGCCCCCGCCTCCGGGCCGGCCCGAGCGCGCCCGGCCGGCGGCCCGCTCCCCAAACCGCGCCTCCCCCGCCCCCTGCGCTTCCCCCCCTCCCCGCCACCCTTTAATACTTGCCCGCCGCCGCGCCGCCGCCGCCGCCGCCACCGAGTCCGCGGACATGTCCTTCCCGCAGCTGGGCTACCCGCAGTACCTGAGCGCCGCGGGGCCCGGCGCCTACGGCGGCGAGCGCCCGGGAGTGCTGGCCGCGGCTGCCGCGGCGGCCGCCGCCGCCTCGTCGGGCCGGCCCGGGGCGGCGGAGCTGGGCGCGGGCGCGGGCGCGGCCGCCGTCACCTCGGTGCTGGGCATGTACGCGGCGGCCGGCCCGTACGCGGGCGCGCCCAACTACAGCGCCTTCCTGCCCTACGCCGCGGACCTCAGCCTCTTCTCGCAGATGGTGAGTGAACCTGGCCTGCTCGGCGCCCCGCACGCGGCCCGGGTCCCGGGGCAGCTCGGGGAGCGGGAGGCGAGAGCGGGCGCCGGATCGGCCCTGCCGGCTGGGCCGAGGAGGTGGTGGCCGCGGGCGCTCGAAGAGGCCGGCCGGGAGCGGCCCCGCCACGGGCCCCGGGAAGCCGGGAGGTGGGAGGCTCGGGCTGCGCAGGGGGTCTTGCTGGGAGTCGGCAGGCCGCGGGAGCAGGCCCGGGGCGCGCGGCCGGCGCTGGAGGTCGGGGCCAATCTCGCCCGGCGCCCCTGGCTCGGTGGCGGCGGGGCGGCTCGGCCCGGTTTACCCGGACGCCCCTTCCCGGCCCGCGGGCCCCGTTGGCGCGACCATTTCAGCGTTTGGGCTGAGCCAGGGAGACTCGATTTTCTCCCTCTTTGGAAGGGCTCTTGCAGTTGTATCTGAACCCTTTAAAGCGTAGTAGAGGCGGTCAAAATAAACCTAACAATGGAGATCCGACAGGCCGAGGGGTCTCTTAGAGGCTTGAGCGCAAATTTGAAATTAAACAAAAAATGAAGGCGAAATAATTGTTGGCGTCTGAAACGGTGTTTGCTTTGACTTTCGTAAGTTGCCAAAGTTTTCATTTCATTTGCACCGAAAGAAAAGCACTTTTCTTCCTGCGTTGCATAATGGAGGATTGAAGAGAGCGGTGTCCCTGGGCTTAAAATAAATGCTGTCCTCTTAGGCTCCTGCCCCAGTGGGTGTCACATGGAGGAGTCGGGGGCTGCAAATTTCATGCTCCGCGGGGCCGTTGATCTAAAGGGTCCATTTTCCTAGGTCTGACTGCAAAGTCTGCCTTAAACTTCGGGCTGCTGGGAATGGCTCGCCGGGCGCGCGGGTCGGGGAGGCAGACCCCTCCTGCACTGCTGCCCGCGGGGTCACGCAATTTGCGAGGACCCCCCCCCGCCCACCCACACACCCCCGCCACGTCTCCCCACTCCGCGAAGAAGAGACAGGAAATACATACCCGACAATAGTAAAGGAGCAAAGCGGCCGGTGTGTTTTCCTGTAACTTTTCTTGTAGTTTTGAAAAGAAAGCCTATTTCTCTGAAAGCGGCCCCAGCTGCCTTTCAGATCGGTTGCTATCAAAAAAGATCAGCTCCCATTTTGTTCTGGCGGCCGGGATGCAGGGGGAAGCGTTGAGAGATTTACAAGGTATCCTTTCAAAAAGAATTCCCAGCAGAGACGAGGCCGAAATGTCTTCCTTACAGTTACAACGAAAATAATTAGAAAAGTGCAAAGTACATTTTGCAAAGATTAGGCAAAAACGAAATCTGGCCGGAGAAACCTTGTCTCTGGGCCTCGACCACCGAACTAATTTGTCAAAGAAATCTTCTGCTTTTTGCAACTTTCTCCAGAGTCCCGGTTCCCCTCTCTGCTAACACAACAACTCGACAATTTTTACATGGAGGATTATAATTTTTTTACAGAAATTTTGAATACAGATGTGTGCCAGTTGGGAAACCCGCGTGCGTTTGTAGGGGAGGGGGGCCTCTATGGCGAGGATCTGCTCCCATTGTAGTGAGGTTGGGAAGGGAGATGCTTGCTTTTTTTCTCTTTTAAGGAGGGGAAACTATATAGAAATCCAACCACCCCGCCCCCAAAGGTAGATGTACGTGCGCATGTGTTTCCTCCTGGTCTCCTGATGCTTCCTGGAAAGGAAGCCTAAATCCAAACCCAAATTCTAGGTCTAGGTTTCCAAGCCTTTACGGTTGGGGATTTGGAAGTCCAAAAGATAAAATTGTGAGTGAATGTCTATCTGGGCAATTTATGGTAATAATGAGGCCTAATGAGGTTGTTAGAAAGATAAAATGTTATTTACCAAAAAAACCTGATGGGATAATTTGACTTGCTGTGTTTTACTACCGATGATAAAAAGAATATTGATTGCAAATAAATCACGGCCTCTAAATGCCTTGCAAACAGTTTGTGCTTGCTTGCTCCTGATCAAAGTCAAACTTGAGAGATAAAGTCTCCGAGCAGAGGCCTAGGAAACAGTTCTGCTCTGCGCGGTGGGTGCTCAGGGCCCTCCCGTTAATGTTTTACCGGATAAACCCTCTCTTTGTATTTAAAAAAAACAAATGGTGTTTTTGTTATTGTTGTTGGTGATGGCCAGGATTAAAATTTTAAATTACCTGTCACCCACTGTAGACCTTTAAGTGCGGGGCGGGCGAGCCATTCTATGCAGGTTAATTTGGGAGCTAAAAGGAGTGTGCTTTCATTTTAAATTGCTGGTGGATTTGGACTCTCGGAAAACTCAGGATGGTTTATTTTGTTTGACCCCCTCAGGGTCAAAGGGAGGGGGCCTGGGCTCTTGGTTCTCTACGTTTGGAGAAACTGTTTTATCAGCCTGGTTAAAATGTTTTCCCCTCTAGCGAGTGTGAGATAAACTTGGACACCCGGGCTTCTGGAGTTGTTTTGGGAGGTGGGGCTGGGGGCCCTGCGGGCGGCCTAGGGAAATCCTAGGGGCTGCGGCTCCCGCTGTGGTCTTCTAGAGATTCTAGGATTCTGCAACTTTTCTTGAGTGACAAAAATATCTCCATGATTGGTGGAAGGGCAGTTTCTGGAGGCAGCTTCTGGTCTGACCCCCTCTTCCAACCCGGGTGGTGCATTAGGACTAGGCTTCCCATTCTGGAGCCGGCGGGAGCGTCTGCCTCCCACTTTCCCAGTTTGGGGAACTCATCTCTCTCTCTCTCTCTCTCTCTCTCTCTCTCTCTCTCTCTCTCTCTCTCTCCCTCTCTCTCTCTCTCGCCCCCTGCTTTCTCTCTACTCCCTCGCTGGGCCTTGTGGCTGCAGGGTTCACAGTATGAGCTCAAGGACAACCCCGGGGTGCACCCCGCCACCTTCGCCGCCCACACGGCGCCGGCCTATTACCCCTACGGGCAGTTCCAGTACGGGGATCCTGGGAGGCCCAAGAACGCCACGCGCGAGAGCACGAGCACCCTCAAGGCCTGGCTCAACGAGCACCGCAAGAACCCCTACCCCACCAAGGGCGAGAAGATCATGCTGGCCATCATCACCAAGATGACCCTCACGCAGGTCTCCACCTGGTTCGCCAACGCGCGCCGGCGCCTCAAGAAGGAGAACAAGGTGACGTGGGGCGCGCGCAGCAAGGACCAGGAGGACGGCACTCTCTTCGGAAGCGATACCGAGGGGGACCCTGAGAAGGCCGAGGACGACGAGGAGATCGACCTGGAGAGCATCGACATCGACAAGATCGACGAGCACGACGGCGACCAGAGCAACGAGGATGACGAGGACAAAGCAGAGGCGCCGCGCGCGCCCGCCGCGCCTGCCGCCCTCGCCCGGGACCAGGGCTCGCCGCTGGCGGCCGCCGACACGTTCAAGCCCCAAGACTCCCCCCTGGGCCTGGCCAAGGAGGTCCCGGAGCCCGGCAGCACGCGCCTGCTGAGTCCGGGCGCCGCGGCGGGAGGCCTGCAGGGCGCGCCGCACAGCAAGCCCAAGATCTGGTCGCTGGCCGAGACGGCCACCAGCCCCGACGGCGCGCCCAAGGCCTCGCCGCCTCCCGCCGGCCATGCGGGCACGCACGGGCCCCCCGCGGGCGCGCCGCTGCAACACCCGGCCTTCCTGCCCAGCCACGGACTGTACACCTGCCACATCGGCAAGTTCTCCAACTGGACCAACGGCGCGTTCCTCACGCAGGGCTCGCTGCTCAACGTGCGCTCCTTCCTGGGCGTTGGCGCGCCCCACGGCCCGCACCTGTCCGCGCCGCCGCCGCCGCCGCAGCCACCCGTCACCGTGGCCGCGGGGGTGCTCCACGGCGACAAGGCCTCGTCCCGCAGCAGCCCCTCGCTCCCAGGTACAGCGCCCCGGGACGTCCGCCCTGCCCCAGGCCAGTAATCCGGAGCCCGGGCGATGCTGGGGATGGAGGGGAGCTCTGGCCCCGGAGGGTGAGAGGCGGTGACCGCTGAGCTCGGGGTTGAGCAGTAATCCCTGCCTGAATTCAAGGAGCGAGGCCACAGCCCTCCGGCTCTCCCGAGAAAGCTGAGCTCTACCCGCTGGCTTGTCCCGGGGGAGGCAGGGAGGTTTCCCTGGAGACACTTCCCAGGGACGGGGCGAGGCGGGGGGGGGGGGGGAGGAGGCCTGTGCCCCTCTGCGGCACCCCTTTCCCCCACTGTCTCTCGGCCCTAACGCTCTGCCTCTTCCCCTCCCTCGCAGAGAGAGACCTCATCCCCAGGCCGGACTCGCCGGCACAGCAGTTAAAGTCGCCCTTCCAGCCCGTGCGCGACAAGTGAGTGCCGTTGGTGTTTACCTCTGGGTAGGGGCGAGGGGGATTCGGGGGCCGGAGGCTGAGCAGTGGCAGGCGGCAGAGGGGTCGCGTAGTTAGCGTGGCTGGGGCGCTGTCCACCAGCCGGGCGCCCGGGCCAGCGTAGTCCGCCCCGGTTTCTCCCGAGCCGGGAGCCTCGCGGGGGCAGGTCACGCCGCCCCCCAGGCGCTTGGCTGGCAGCACCGGCCATGCTGGGTCCCAGCTTCCATCCACTGACAGCGCTGTGTTCTTCTTGTCTTGCTGTGTTTCCCCTGCAGCTCGCTGGCCCCGCAGGAGGGGACGCCGAGGATCCTAGCAGCCCTCCCATCAGCCTGATCCAGGGTCTTCTTTTACTTTTGCGGGGGGAGGGGGGAGAAGTTCGGGAGGGAGGGGGTGAGGGAGGAATCAAGACAAATATTTCAAACTGGTGTAAAGGGCAAATCTGGCAACGAAGTCAAAGACTCCCATCCATCGCTTTCTGCAGAAAGGGGCTCGTCCAGCCCGAGCTCGCGTCCAGGCAGCCCGGCCTCTGCCCGCCGCCCCGGGGGGCCGTCACCGTGCTTCGGGCGATTATCAGTTCGGTAAATGCCCCCATGTGCTTCTGTCTTTCTTTTTTTTTTTTTCCTTCTGTATATAGAGTGATTTCAGATTGTAAATAGCGCGTCAGCGAACCTGTCTAAATCATATATTTTTGTCTAATAAACTAAATGAAATGATGGCCACTGCTCCTGCTGCTGTGTGTGGCTGGGTGTCGCTGGGGGCGTCCTCAATCCTGGAATCAGGAATCCTGGCATCGTGGCAGGGCTCTAGTGCCTGTGGCTGGGGAAAGAAGCTCCGGGGGAGTTTCCACCCCAAAGGCGGGTGCTTCTCAGTCTCCTGATCGGTGTTGCATTTGTTAATGTCACCAGGTCAATCCTTGTTGGCAGTTCAGTTCTTTCCAACTCTTACACATTTATCTGGACACGCTCTTCTCAAGACATAAATGAGTTCGATTTTAGGCAGTTATAAAACGATTTTTTGAAGTGGGCAACGATGGGGGAAAAGTGAAAAGAATTTCCAATCCTCTCCCCAAAGGAGGACTTCGTATTTGAAATCAGTTTATAACCAGTTGTCTCAGCGGTGCATCGTGGCGTCGGGGCGTTTCATAGGTAGAATGAGGACATAATGGAGTATGAAATTTTGCTTTCAGTGTATTTTTTAGTTATTTGGCTAAATCACACGTGGAGAAATTGGAATTTTTTTTTTTTTACTCTCCTGCCAGGGATGCAGCTCCGTGGTTCTCTGGGCGTGTGAGCGACGGGGCTGCAGTAGTGTGTGTGGGTGACAAAGAGGGGAGCGGGCTTCGGTCTCCCAGGGACGCCCCTTTAAACTCATGCGCCCTGCACTGGGCGCACCCAGCGAGCGAGCCGAGGAGCCAGTAACGCCCAAATGGCCGCTGGGCTGGAAGGTAGCTGGAGTGATGGTAGGAAACAATGCAGAAGGAGCCTGCCCGGAGCCTCGGGAAACGCACTGGTCAGGACTGCGGGCCGTGGGGCGTGCGGAGCTGGATGCATAGCCTGCACTTCCAGAGGGTGCAGGACCCTTGAATTGGTGAACACCGCGAAAGCAGGCTTTGTAAAACTGCCAATGAGGATGGGGGCTGCGGAGGTACCCGGCCCAGTGGGGAGGAGGCCGAGTCCCCGGGGTCGGACAGGACCTCCCCCACCCCGAGCCGAGCCCCAGATTCGCCCTCGAGACCCTCGGGACCCGCTGTCCCGGGGCCGCTCGCGGCGGCGAGGGACGCGGCTGCGGGAGGAGAAAGCCGGGCGCGGCCGGCTGTCCCTGGCTCCTCTGCGGCGAGGAAAGGGGCGCTCGTGCCCAGAACCAGCGGGCGCCACCCACCGGACCGCCGCCCCCCGCGCCCGCGTCCTTCTCCAGCGCCTCCCCCCGCCGCCATCGGTCTAGAGGAAAAGGTCCCCGCTTGCCGCCCCAGAGGCGGGAGGAAGCGCGAAGGGGCGGCCGCGGCAAGCGTGGCCCGACGGCACGTCGGGGCGCGCGGGTGCGGAGCGTGGAGCCGCCGGAGAGCCGGGCCGCGGAGCCGAGCCGAGGGCCGGCTGGCGGGCGGCAGCCGCGGTGGAGCCGCTTCCAGTCTGAACGGACGTGCTCGAGGCGCCCTCTATGGGCCGCAAGCGGAATAGGGCCCTGGTGGAGGCGTCAATCTCGCTCCTGGGGTAGGGCCCCAAATCTGGGGGTCCTTGGCTTTGGGGGTACTGTGGACGCGAGCCTCGAATTATGTTGGAGGGGCTTCCTCTGTGTTCTAGAGTGCCACCCACTTGTTTGAAATCGGGAGTGTGTGTTGCTGGGCCTACTGTGTAGGCTGCTGGCATTTGGGGAGAAGGGCTAGGACCAGGCTCCACTCCGGGTGTTCGCGTTGTCCCCAGGGACCCTTGCCGATTCAGAGAGGAGCTCCTGGCCTGTCCTCGATGCTAGGACTGCAGGGGACAGTGCGGCCCTCCGCTCCCCATTCCAGAGCTCTGGAACAGAACCTTGGGTCCCACCCTGACCTCTGGGACCCGACGACTCCTGTGTTCTTGGGAGAGTGCGCGCCGCCAGATGTTAGAGGAGCAGTGCTCTGCTCCTCTGATGAGGAAGTGCGTTCTTGGCCCACAGACAAGCTGTTCCGGCGACCAAAACGTGCGGGGAAACCCCTTCTGAGCTACTGCAGGAAGCAGCAGGTGGGATTCAGGTGGGCTATGGCGTCCTCTGCCCCTGGCCCAGTTCCACTGTCTTTACCCCTAAACCCCAGAATCAAATAGGATGGTCCATGCAGGTGTTTCTGCTTTCAACCCATATTTCCATTATTTCTTTCTATCCAATACGTTTGGGACCCCTGGATGCTGCCGCCCAGGTGGCTGAGCCACCGGGGGGGTCTGAGGCCTCAGAACCCTGTGGCCTAGAAGTCGTGAAGGGTCCGTGCCCCCCTCCTGGGGACCAAAGCTTTACTGCAAAGAAATCAGATTGCCAGCCTCAGAATAATTTTCCTCCATTGAAGAGCTAGACATGAATTTTTAATTGAGCATTGAAAAGCATTTGTGTCCTTTGTGTGCTGCTTGTTTACATCTTTCCCAACCACTGCAGCCACCTAAGGGTGTGCACGCCTAGGGGTGTGCGATGCCCCACAGGGAGGTCCTGATGAACCCAGTGTTTCAGCACCTGAAATATCTGGGAGCGCACATAGAAACCCCCTTCTCTTTAAAGCCAAAGTGGAAGTTCTTCTGGAACTTTCTGTGTGAACAGAGGTGCTCTCTCCCACCTTCCCCTACCGGTACCCAGCACAATTTCAGAGGGTGGCAGTAGCCCTGTGAGGAGGAGACTAAACCTGAAAATGGGTAAGGGTGAGGGATGTCCACTGGATTAATGCTGGCAACTTGGCCTCCCTCCTCCTCAGGGACCAGGTTCCCATAGAAAGGGTACCCCGTGTCCGGGACAGCAGACTTCTGTCTTTATTAGGTCTTATTTTTGGGGAGAGGGTAAAGAGGAAACCCGATTTGGAGACCTCCTCTCTGCTCCAGCTCAGGCCGGCAGAGGTGACGGGGAGATGATCCAGGTGTGGTTTTTCTAGACCAGCATCTCCCCTCAGACATTGCTGGTCTGAGGACTTGGGGGGTGGGTGCAGGTCCCATCCCAATCGGTGACCCGCTGGTCTCTGAAATCTCACTGCTCCCACCCTCCTTCCCTCCCTCCCCCGATCAATTATAATCACCAGCACATTTATCTCGCCTGCAATATGGAGAATTCATATTCATATCTCGGTTTTAGTGGCCTGACACTGATTAATGTAATACTCGCCGTGACTCCGAAGGGCTGCCACCCGATGAATCATGCCCTATAAAGTTTCAGTCGTCCTTGTAGATGGGACTGCCGGGGAGCTAGGAAGCCGGAGAAGAGGGAGAGAGGGGGAAAGGAGAGAGAGAGGTCAGGGTGGGCGCACACCCGTGGTGGTGATGCCCTAGGCTGGGCGCTGGTCCTCTTCCCTGTAGTGGAGGCCTTGGCAGGGCCCTGGCCCCTCTGCCCGAACCCCTCTCCTAAGCCGAGGACCCTTTCTGGCCCTCCGGCCCTGGGGTTTCCTGATGGTGCCGGCAGGCCCGGGGTTGCCGGGTGGCCGAGGCAGGGTCAGGCTGGGGCTGGGGCTGAGGCTCCCGGGTGGCTGCTGGGGTTTATGGGGAGATTGGAGCCCAGAGCACTGTCCTGAAAGTGGTGCGGGAAGTGTGCCAGTGGGAATGGGATTTTGCCCCTGGGGCATTCAAGTTGGAGGTCAGAAGGGAGGGAAGGAAGCTAAGCCCAGAGAGGGTTGCTGGTGGGGGGTGGCTTGGCACAGGTTTGGGGTACACAGGCCGTAGGGGCTTGGGAAGCCTGCCCAGCCTCCGGCGGTCTCTGCTCCCCGCCTGGGCTGCCCGGGCCGCATTGCAGGGCCCAGCACTGGGGCATGAGTCAGTCAGTCAGGCACTCAGGCCTCCTCCCAGCGCCCGGAGAGAGGAAGCTTTGGGGACCTGACACTGAGCACGAGCCCTGTGCCTTGTGGTCCCTCGACTTGCCTGGCCCTGGGGTGCTTCCTGTCTCATCTCTCTGGCCTCAACTGGAGGATGCAGCTCCAGGTGGGGGGGTCAGCGGGGGAGGGTTGGCCCTGGGGTGGTGAATCCAGGGTTGGGTGGGCCAGGAGGTAGAACAAGGAGGTAGAGGGGTGCACTCTAGGAGTAGTGACAGTGCCCAGTCACCTCAAGGGGTCTTCTGAACTGGCCTGAAGGGAGCAGGGCCCCCAGGAAAGGTTTCCTGGGCTGCGCCTGTCCACCCAGGGGCATGGGGTGACTGGTCTCTCCAAGTAAAAAGCTCCGCAGCCGTCCCCTCTCAGCTCTGCTGGGGCCAGAGAGCCTGCAGGTCTGCCCCAGCGCCCCTCTGAGCCAGTGGCCCTAATTATAGCTCCGAGCTGAGAGGCCTCAGAAGGTCATCCCACGGGGCCTGCTGGCTGCCTTTGTGCCTCAGCTACTGCAGCTGGATGCATACCCCTCCCTCCCAGTACAGACATCTGAAAATGGGCCCTCTTGGGGCAGCACAGGGGGGACAGAGGGGACCCGGTGGCACAGGGACCACAGGGCCTGGGGCCACAGTGCTTTTAGAGGCTCATGAAAATATTTAATTTCTTTTCAGATGAAAAGAAAAGTTTCTTTTAGGTGGAGGAAAACGTGTCAATAGATACTATCAATATATCCATTCATCTTTGTATCACGCAGCCTTAACATTTCTTTCTTATCATTTGTTTTCAGTGGAGGAGAAGGCCCAGGGCCCATGCAAGTCACCCGGGTAGCACAGGTTGGGGAGGCCCCTGGGGTGGTCGGAAATTCTGGAACTGTCTTCAGTGGGAGGTCAGAGAAGGCGGTGGCCCTGAGCCCAGCAAGGGAGCGGGCAGCACAGCGGGGGCTCTGGGAGGGCCCTCGGGGTGCTCAGGCCTGGTGGATGCCCTACCCGCCCCCTCCAGCATGCCCGCCGGCCCGGGTTGGGCGCAAGTGCAGCTCTTCCTGCGGGCCGCTGTTCGGTTTCTGCAGACGCCGCGGGTGTCTCTGATCCCTTAATCCATTTACCCAGGGGACTGAGCACTGGCGGAATGCGGGGACACAATGACCCGGCTGCACCAGGGGGCTGGCGCACCCACCTACTCCCGCCCCACCGTCCCCATTGTCTGTCCGCAGTCCGCGGGGTCCCGGGCTCAGGGAGCAGAGCGCAGTGGTGGCAATAACTCCGAGACGGTTTACATCCTTGAAACCGAAGGGCATTTTTTTCTTAATTCCTTCTACTTGAAACTGCCCTTTCGAGCGGGGAAGATGCTGTCTGGGTTCCTCCGCGGCGTCGGAGCTCAGGCATTCCGGGGAGGGAGGCCCGGAGGGCGGGGAAGGCCAGGGGGCGACTGCAGACAGAGGGAGCCATGCGGGCTGGCCACTTGCAGTCTTTCCTCCCTGTGTCTTTTCCCGTTTGCTTGTTTGTAGCTGCTGTAGCTTTGCTTGTTACTGAATTTTAAACGTATGGTTAATTGCCGGGTCCTCGGGTAGCTGCGGCAATGTCTGAAAATATTAAATACATCTGCGAGACGGTGGGAAAGAGAAATTAAAAAGGTGCTGGCTGCAGTGAATGTTAAAAAGATCTCACAAGGAAGTGATTAACATTTTTATGAATAAAATTAATCACGCATTAACTCTGCCGCACAGTGCATCTGATAGCCAAATGTGGCCCAGGAAGCCCCTTTCTTACACCCAGGAACTTTGAAGGCCTCCTGGGCCCTCAGCAAACGTCCAACCATTAGGAATTTCACAATATTTATGAGAGGATGTGTCAATAACAGCTATCTGAATTTGAGGCATGGAAAAGAAAACCTCTAAAAATACCACCACCGCTAGCACAGGTAGGGCAAAATTTAAAAAGCAACCACCATTTTTTTTTTTCCTCTCCTTTGGCAAACCCTCAGTCAAAACCAGCCATTTCCATGCTCGGATATATGCTTCTGGGATTGTGTGGACCTGGATCCAGGAGGGCAGCAGGCGGCAATGGGGGAGGGGGAGGCTGAGTCCCAGAGCCTGGGAGGGGTGCTTTCCCCTGCCCTTGTCCGGGGCCCACGGTTCTGGGGAAGTGGATCGGAGTAGAGGGCAGGCCTCCACATTATTAAAATTTCCAGTCTTGCAGATAATCAACTGCGATTTCTCCTCTACCCGAGTCTCCTCTCCCTCCTTTCTAATCTCTTGCCACTGTGGTTTTGGGATTATTCCAGCAGGCTGTACAAAGGGAAGCAAAGGCATCTGAAGTGTCACTCTGCGGCTGTGGCAAAGGAACAGCACTGCCATTTTGTTGATGTTCCCAGCTCATGTGCGCAGCAGAAGGTGGAATCAAAGCAGCGCGTCTCCTCAGTTCTGCACATTATTTTTCCCCACTGTGGCAAATCTCTCCGAGCTCCGTGAACCAAGAAAACCACGGTCCCTGTTTGAGTTGATATATTAATATTTACTGAGGATTTGCAAGGTCGGGGCTAAATGTCAGCAGATTGCTGGGGCAGTCCTGTGGGGAATAATTAACCAAATCTCACAGCAGTTCATCCTCCTAACATCTTTATTAATCTTTTTTTTTTTTCTCCCTTCCCCTCCTGAAAGAGTACATTGAAATATTGCTTTTGCAACCTTAGAGAAGATTCAGAATAAGTAATAGTAAAATACTGTGCTGGTGATGTTTGCTTTGGAGGGTCTCTGGACCCTTCCCTGGCAGGTGTTTGAGGGCAGGGGGGCGCTGATGGGTGAATTACCGCTGAGCAGCTGTGATTTTCACCTGCCCTTCCAACACATTTATCCTGACCAATTTGCCAGACACAGTCCTACCGCTTCCGTGATTCGATCCGAACCCCGGCTATACTGCGCAGGCCACTCTGCAGAGCGAGGGGGCGGCCGGCCGCTGCTTCTGGGGGTCTGCCTTCTTTAGTATGATTATAGGTTACACTTAGAACAAGTTGGACAATTGTCTTTAATAAGCTTCATAATTAGTGTCGGGATGCCTCATTACAAGTCATAGCCTGTAGCAGTCCTGGGCCAAACAGCCCTCTGCAATCTGATTTATTTTTTATCAGGCAGCAGGAGCTGTCTGGAGTTTTTGTTTGTATAATGGGGGCCTGCATCAGGCCCCCAGTGTAAAAATACCACCAGGAAATTAATTGCTTCTGTGTGGATTCACCGCAGATGTGTCCTGTTGATCAGAATGGTATATTTTTGACTTTGCTGTCCTGTGGTGAGTTGTAAAAAAAATAAAATGAAAGCCAGCAATGCAAACATATTAGCATCAATATAGATTCAGTATGGCATAATTGAAAACATGGGGTTTCAGGGGAAGATGTGCAGGGAAAGTTCAAGTTTCTAGTAAGATCGTTTCCCTTCCTGTTCTCTTTCACAGTTTTTTTTTTTTTTTGATTATATATGAATGGATGTATGTATTGCTCCTAAGTGGAACCATCTCTGGGCAGACATGTGACTGGAATGTCAGCTGGTTTCTGGCTGAAAGATCTTACAATAACATAAGCCCTAATGGAGTGGCTGATCTCCTGCCCCGAGCCTGACACCAGGGCCCCTGTTTGAGGTCCATGGTTTGACGCTGTTACAATGGTGCCAGGGAGAGCCTGGGCCGCTCATCCTGGCTCCACCCTGAAGGGGCCTCAGGTGGCTCTGGGTGGGTCGGCCTCGTGTGTGCTCCGCTTTTGCATGTGTGTGCACTTCACGTGTGACTAAGCCATGTGGACAAATCTTTCTCATATGCTCTCTGCGCTGCTCCCTGAGCTCAGGTATAAATAAATACTTTTTCATCAGACCACTAGATCCCCCTACATTCTGATGAAGTTGCAAATGAGTCCTCCAACTTAGAACATTTTAAAGATATTTTTATGCTAATTTGTCCCCGAATTAGAATTTGTCACTTGCATGTCTTATTCTTGGCACTGGACTGTCCGTTGCTGGCGAGTGTATATGGATCACCACGGCTAGGGTGGAAGTGTAGTTCCTCACATCCCTTTGATTTTTCTAGAAGAGTTCCATGAGCTTCGTTTTCCCATTCGTCCTTGTTGAGGCTGTTTGAGGTCAGGACTCTGGTTTTCGTGCTCGGCACCGTATTGGGATGGAGTTGGTCAATTTAACCTCAGCTAACTCAGCAGACTGCACCTTATTTATGTGAGAACAAAAGCAGAAATGAATGCTGAATGTGATGTCATGATAAAGATCACGAGACATTGAGAATTGGGCAGGAAAATAAGTACGTTTCATATACAGAAGAACAGATTGATCTGGGCTCCTGTGGATGCAGCAGGTGCTCCTGCAGAGGCAGCAAGAATCATGGCCACTAGAAACTCTCAGCTGGGGTTTGCAGGGTCCTGTCCATGGGAGGATTCTAGTGGCCGCTCTTGGAGTTCCACATCCCGCTGATTTACCATGGTCTCTTCGGCAGCAAATGTCATAGGTAGGTGTGGTCTCCCTGAAGGAGAGGCCCGTGGACCCCTTGCTTGTCCTGCATGAGAACACGGGGCGAGGCCTGCGGGGCATCACCTCCTGGTTTCCAGATAAAGCCCCGGCGGCTGTGCGGCGATCTGATGGGTGAACTCGGGGAGCAGAGGCAGTGGGGGATCCAGAGAAGGCGCCCAGGGTGGGGTGTGGGTGTGTGTGTGTGAGAGAGACAGACAGGCAGAGACAGAGAGAGAGGCTGAGAGACAATAAGGAGAGATGAAGATCCAGAACCGCGTGTCTCCTGCTGGGTAACCTACCCTCCTCCATCCTCTTTCCCAGATACCTCTCACCCCGTTCCCACGGAGAATGGCGCAGCAGGACCCTTAGGGAAACGTGTTCAAAATACATGTTCCCCAGCAGCCCTTTCCCCATTCCCATTTCAGCAGGCATGGGGGACCGGGTCTTCTGCATTTTAAATCAGGGTCATTCTGAAGCCCAGGTGGAGCCCACACTTGGAGAAACACCCCGTGTATCCCAGGATGCATTGAATTCCTTCCTGTTAAGGAATCAGCCGACAAGGGGCTTGAGTGTCACCCTTCCTGGTTCATTAACCCTTGAGCTGAGTGTGGGACTGGAAGGTTCTAAGCACTGCAGAACCAAACAAATTCATCTTTGGCGGTGAGGGTCGTCCATGCTGTCTGGAGGGCTGGGACCCCCAGGCTGTCGTGTGGTGCAAGCTCTGCCTCTGCACAGGCCCTGGGGAGCCGCACCAGTCACCAAGCACCAGTCTGTGGCTGTGCCAAGCTGCACGGGGACAGCAGATCTTCCCTGACATCCTGCTGCACCCGTGGCCGGCAGGGCCGTTTGTCAACTCCCCACAGTAAACAAGGAAATGATACAATGTTGTCCGTCCCTCTTTAGTGGTGGGAACTTAAGTGTATGGCGGGTCCCGTATTCGTCATGCAATGGCAGCAGCATCTCCTGACCCTTCATCCCGAGGATCTCCCCTCCATTCCAGGGTCGCTGATTCTCCATGCATGTCATTAACCTTTACGTGTGCACAGTGTTTTCTCTTTTTACTCTTCACGCAGTTGAGAGTCAAAAAGTGGATGACACTTGCTCCGGACGTAGCTGAAAGGATGCAGGCGTGAGAGCTTCTCCTCCGATGAACAACCAGGCTAAGGATAAGCTGTTGTTGGAAGCCCCTCTGGTTCCAGGAGTGATGAAGCACTGTGGGCGGCACCATCTGAGTTCCATGGGAGAGCTGGGTGCTGCGCACAGCTGGCCTCCACCCTCAGGGCCAGGAAGCCAAGTGCAGGACCCCTTCCAGGGAAAGAGCCTTGAATCCCCAGCACCTACTTGCCTCCTTGCTTTCCCTCCCCTCTTTGCCCACACTTAAAAATAAAGATAGGAACGAATTTCTTAGCCAAGTTTGAAACCAGCCTCATCTTTAAGGAGTAAAGTTATTTTCTCTTGGCAATTACTTCTTCCCATTTCTCAGAAGGAAAAAGAAAATATTTAAACCATAAGAAAGACCCCAAACTTCCCCAGACATCAAATATCTGTTAAAAAACAAACATCATTTTGATAAGCTAAGTATATATGGATCAGAAGACATGTGGCTTTGGTTTTCCTTAGAAAGCTTACTTTGAACCCCAAATATTTTTAGAAAGTTTGAGGCGTCCAAATGCTGTGCATTTGGGAACACCCAACCGTAATTTTAAGGGGATGGATTCAATACACATGTTTCTGATCTATTTACAATGATCAGAGTCAACTGCTCGTTTCGAATAGCCTTTGATGTGCAGGCATCCCTCTGGGGCTTTAAAAACCACCCTGCAGTGTCTCTTCCCTCTGACAGCAGAAGGGTCTGTCTTGCCAGAGTTACAAGACCACCTTACCCCTCACTCTGTAGGTCACTTCGGGTCTTCAGCTCCTATGTCTCAGGGAGTATCTAACTCAAAACAATGCCTTTCCCATGTTAGGAACATGTCGTCTTGGAAGGAGAAGTGAGGAAACATCAGGGCAGCCTGCTGTCACTGCTGACCCCTTAGGGGTGACCGTCCTGCATGGTTCAGGTACAGGAAGATGCTCTCTGGACGGTCCACTGGTGGATGGAATTTTGTCGACGTAACTTTCATTTTGGTGAGCAAGGAATCGGTGCTGCGGCCACATGTGATGGTCAAAGCAACTCATGTTAGGGGTAGTTAGAACCTGTCTCCCCATCACGCAGCCTTGAGGAGCTGCTTGCTGCCTTCAGGGTGCCCTCCCATCTGTGTATGAACCACATGCACATACGTAGGCAGAGTGAGAGAACGAGGTGGGTTTGAAATGAGAACTCATGGATGCATTGTCATCTTGGGCCTGAATTAGGATAATCGTAATTCCTGACATTTAGTGAACCATTTCTGGCTGCCAGGCGCTGTTTGTAGTTTACGTGTGGTAACAGATTTAATCCCCTGACAATGCAGTGAGGGGGGATTTACTCTTTGCTTAATTTTAGGGGCCCGGGGACTGGGGTAAGGAATCGCCCCAGAAGCCCAGGGTTCTCACCATGCCTGGCCTGCGGGAACAGTCTAGAACAGGAGAAGCTTCCAGGCTCCTTCCCTGCCTCCCGACCACCCACCAGCTGTGCGGCTGCCTCTCTGAGGTTTTAGGGCTGTGGGAGCCCCTCTTTTGGAAATTGTCGCATGAGGTGTGCTGCCGTCTGGTAGAACTTCCCCGTTCCGTCATGGACCTCTGTCACCCCCCAGACGCTCCTCTCACCCCTGGGGACAGAGCCGCTCCATCCCAAAGCCAATGTATTTTAGAATCTGGTTGTCATTTTTCTGTCATAAGGAGGCAATGCTATTTCTTCTTAATGTCTTTTTATGCCCAAATGGGACAAGCTGGCATGTCATTTCCCACACTCTGACAGTGGGAAGCACACACTGGTTTTCCATGAATACAGCCATTTGCGTTCTGCGTAAACCAGGGTGTCCGTGGTTCTAAAGAATGAGGGTGCAGTCCGTCCTCTGGATCTCCTGGCTGCCTCCCCCTGAGAGCAAAACTCCTGTCCTCCTCCATGCTCCCCACTCCCCGTCTCTCTGTCTCCCCAAACTTCCGGGGGCTCTTACACACCAGGAAGGGCATCCCTGAAGGGCTGCCGACTGGTTTCAAGGTGTGGCGGGGCCAGAGGGGTGCAGAAAGGCTGGAGGCATGAGTCCCTCCGTTCCCAGGAGGGGGAGGTGATGGCACAGCCCACCCTGGAGATTGTCACCCGCCCCCATGACTGTAACTTACAGTCTGTGATGTGAGGGATCCAGCAACCTTTCTAAACTGTACCTCAATTTTAGGTGTTTATAGCTCAGGAAATGAAGTGTGCATGTCGTGTGTGTGTGTGTGTGTGTGTGCACATGTGGAGAGGTGGCATGGGGAAGGTGCAGACTAGGAGAGAAGGGTCAGCCTTGCCAACAGCACAGTCACTGAAACCCAGAAACTCTTCCTTGACCTCGATCAGCTGGGGCGGAGCTGTGTTTACCTGGAGAGCGTTTCACATCCCCAGCTTGCTTTGTCCCATATTCATAGACTCGTGGACTCTATCAGGCACAAAAAACCTCCATTTACATGTAGAAGAATGGGTCCCACAAGGTGAAGTGAACTTTCTAAGGACCCACAAGTGGATGGAGAGAAGGAAGGAGATCCAGTGAGGGACCAGGGTGGCCAGTGTGAGCCCACCCTGAGCCTTGTCCTGGAGGATGCTGAGAGGGGAAGAAGCAGGAGGGAAGGCAGAGGCAGAGAGCAGGGGCCGTGGGGACCTGGGTGCAGGCCACAGGGCTTCGCACGCTCACCCTGAACTCTGGAATAGCCAGGCCAGTGGCCCTCGCTGCAGCGGGGAGGGTGCCAGCGCGGCTGCTTGTCTGGGCTCCCGGCCTCCCCACCCCGCCTCCCGGCCCGACCTCGAGGCTGCTGTTACAACCATCACCAGGGATCCAGGCAACACGGTCTTGGTGCTCTTTGCATGGGAGTGGCTCCACTCCCCTAAAATAGCGAGACTCTAGGAGGTTCTCACTCAAAGAGGAGTTACCGGAACCTGCTGAAATTCACCAGCTAAGAGCAATGACTTGGCTTCTGGATCGATCCCAGGCTTCCTATCTACACGGGTCCCACGCGCTCCCTCCTGCAAGAGAAGCCTGTGCCTGGCCTTCAGCAACCTCGCTTTCTCTGGACTGAGACCTTCTCAGGGGAGGGGGCCTCCCTGCAGAGCGACCCCTCCCCATAAGAAGTGGACCCTGACGATGACGCCTCTACGCCCCTCATCACATCGATGTACGTTGTGCTGAACGGCTTAAGAAGGATGTTCAAGAGCTACCGCGACTTCAGCCACTTCACTTAAATAACAGTTAATTTTGGTGGTGGTGGTGGTGGGGTCGGTGGCCAGGAAGGGGATTGGAATGTTCCAGCAGCCAGTTGCAAGGTACTGAAAGGAGACCCTGAGGCAGGCGGTTCCCGCTGGTGCCCGGGGGCTAGGAGGTTGAGCTCACGGAGAGGTGTGTGCTGTTGGTGAGTTAAGGACCTCCTTCCAGAGGACGTTTCCTCATCACAGCGTTTATCTTTAGAACGGTCCACAGGCCGTGCATGCACAGCGCACCCACTTCATGGCATCCTCCCCCTAGTATTTGGCTTTCTGGGCCCATGGCAGAAGCATGCTGGGGGTGTCCCTGCGTTTTAAATACCAGCACAGGGTTCGGGGGACCGTGCTGGCTGATTTCCTTCCAGGATGACTGAGCCCTACCGATTTCAGCAGATGTGGCACATTCTATGGTAACTTTCCAAGAGCCTGTGGTGGTTGGCCTTGTTTCTGCTCTGGGGACAGGAAACACACATTAAATGCAATTTGTTACTTGCCTTTCTCGTCTTAGTCCATCAAGAGAGCATTAACCGGCGAGAGAGTACCGTTCCCCAGGGCCTGGGAGGGGGTCTTGCGGGAATTCACGGAGATACAGCATTCCTGTGCGTTTTGGGTTTGTTCCCTCTTTGTAGCAGATGAAATGCTTCAAAAATAAGCACAACTGGGGACTCTGTTCTTCCAAGTTTGGTTTCAGATCCCTCTGGTTAATGCCATCGGTGAAAACAATTAACCTCTGTATATTTCGGGATACAGGCAGGACCTTGTGGAAATCTTATTTAATTATGTGCTATATTAATGTTATATTGATTATGTTATTGCCTGTAAATCCAGTTGCTTAATAAAGCTACAGTCATTTTGCAATAAAGTTGTGTTTGCAATCAATTAATGGGTGTCTGGGGGCAGACAGCTATGTGCAGGGGCTGTTGGCACTAAGAAAAATCGTCCCAGGGCTGAAAACCAGAGGGGCCAGCAGAGAACATCCGTTATTTATGTATACATAGGAATGCATGTAAGTATATGTACATAATTGGGTTAAGTCAAAGGAAAAGCATATACCCCAGGGCACTGATTTTTAGCACATAGATCTGGAGAGTTATGAACGGCTGTCTGTATGGTCGAGCTCTCAACGGCACTGAGGCAGCATCTGTACGTGGGGCAGGATAATGTTTGATTTTAAAAATACAAGTAAATGATAACCGCCAATATTGAGACCATGTGAAGGCAGGGGAACAAAGCATACTTTCATTGTTAATCATGCTGACATCCAAGTCGGAGGAGCACATCTCCCCATTCGGAGGAAATGCCATCACCCCTCTGAAGATCACATCTGCCACTAATACCATTCGGCATGTGGTCCGACTTTTATCTCTCTACCAAAATTTCATGTCATGATTTTTACATCTGATGCTAAATTCAGGTCACTACAAAATAAGTACAACTATTTATTTCTTTCTCGTCCTTTGTGATGTGTCCAAGATGTGTGTCCTCATAACAAAATATGAACTGAATATTGAAGTTTTACGAGTATTTTTTTAATAATACACCATAGCAAATAGAAATTTAGCCATTCCTCAATTCAGGTAGATAACGGATCCTTCCCATAAGTGACAGTGCTGTGCCAATCACATAATGATGCTTACGTAATCGTATTTGGGGCAGGCCGATAGTTCTGTCATGGTGACATGTCTTTGACCGTAAGGGTGATGTCTAAGAGCACGTAATCTTGTGAAGAAAAATGTGATATTACAAGGAAGGGCATATCAGTGACCAGCCTTCTAACTGTCACAGGAGGACCCCAAGGACCCAAGTTCTGGATGACTAAGGCTCCCTGACTCCAGCTTCGGCTCTTGTCAGTGGCAAATAACTTTAAACCACAAAGTGGGACCTCCTGATTCATCTTGCTGTGCTCTGGTCTGCGCCCCGTGGGCTCGTTTGCCCAAAGACCCTTAACTCTGAAAGCTTGGTCCACACCCGTTTCAAGTGCAGACAGAGGCCATCCCCAGGGGCTTTGTGGGGGTCCGGGTTGGACGGTTTC